ATTGTGATATGGATATTCGAGAGAGGTAAACGGAACAAAAAAGATGTGGGCATTACAGAAACATCAGCCATAATAGGAAAAAAATGTCCAACTCTTTTATCATCACTTAACCGTTAACTCTTACTTATGTAATTGTATTTTCTATTTCAATGTATGTTTTTGTTTCTAATATTTCAATGTAATTGTATTTTCTACAATTTCCCAATGAATGTGTATTTTCTACATAAATTTCCCACTTACCTCTTACTTCAAGTGATTAACATTTTCATTTTAATCGAACTTTACCCTAAACCACTTTAACCTACACAACCCTTGATCATTCTCACTTTAAAAAACCCTAAACCACTTTAACCTACAAAACCTTCACCACTTTCACCTTAACGAATTATATACCACTTTAACCTAAAATCACTCTAACCTAAATAAAAAAAAAACCTTCGACCATTCTTATATCATAACCGAAACCCTTTAACTAATAAATTATCAAATTCTAATAACCCTAAACCACTATCACCTTTAACCCTAAACCCTAAACCCTAAACCAATACCCTAATTTGAAAGACGCCCCCTGAAACGCTCCTTCCAGCTCTTTCCACTGTGGCTCCACACCAGTTGGAATGAGCTTCCCCTGAAATGTGTCTTACCTCCACATCAGCAAATCCCGTTAAAGCTCGCTCCCGGGAACACACCTTATCTCCACATCAGACGAATGAATGTTACTTTGAGAAATATTGGAAAAGCGATATTATATAGGGAATATTAAAAAAATAGGGTGATATTTAGGTCGAAAATCCTTCACCTTCATCTTTTTGTCACAAACACAATCATCGACAACGATCCTCAATCTAAACTAAAAGAAATGATTCACTAACAATTGTCACAATTCATTTATTTCCAATAAATTTAATAAAAACAATGCGTAGAAATAAATAATCTTGGACCATGTATTATTTGATAATTAATTAAAATCTTAATATAAAATAAAATATTATTTAAAATAACTATTTTTATTAAAATAAAATAAAAATTTAAGTAAAAATCTAAAAGTAAGAAAAAACTTACTATAAGTTGATAAAATTGCTTGAATAATGTAGTAGAAAAAATTGTTCACACTAAAAATTATTTTTTAAATTAGGATGATTCTTGAAAAATTTATCAGGAATATTACACGTTTTTTGAAAAACGTATAGACTGCAGGACGATTTTATGCTCTTCGGCGTCGAATGTCAAGTTCTTGCATCCGAAAATTACCGTGAAGTCCATACACTTTTCAAAAATCATTATATAACCCTGACGAATTTTTCAGGTACAGTAATAATTACCGTAATTTAAAAAATAATTTTAATGTATCTTATATGATAAATTTTTCACCACATTATTCCTACAATTTTACCGTATAAGTCAAATCTGTAATATTTTCCAGTATTTTTTAAGGTTAATATTTTCGGATTTATCAATATGTTTTTTGTTCAATGAATGTTTATCATAATTTGTGGCGGCATTTTACCTAATTATAATTATTATCAGTAATGAATGTTTATCACAATTTAAAGCGTTGTTTTACTAAATTGTAGAACTAGAAAATTTTAGGGTAAAGTACAAAAAATTTCCGCCGACTACAAGGTGTTACTTTATTGAATCATCTAACTATTAAAAGTTATAAAATAGTATCTCGGACATTATTTTATTGAGTCCCCCGACTTTTAAAAGTTACAAAATAGTCATTTGATTATTCATATATTCCAAAATCGTCATTTTCTATTAAAAATTTGACGCTCGTCTGAGCAGGACGTTAACTTACTGAATGAGATATGATAAAATCATATTTTAATGATGTCTATTGGCATCATCGTTGCTTTCAAACATTGACTCACCAACATAATGTTTCAAGCACTGACTTCACGACATAATGTAAACGAAGACTCGATCCACAAAATACGACTAAAAATATTATGAGATCAAATTTTATCATATCCAGTCAACATGTTAACATCCATATCAGACGATCACCAAATTTTAATAGAAAATGATGAGTTTGTAACATATAAATAGTCAGGTGACTATTTTGTAACTTTCAATAGTCGAATAACTCAATAAAATAGTATCCTATAATTGGGGGATATTTCATAACTTTTTATAGTCATTCGACTTAACAAAGCAACACCCTGTAATCAGGGACCACTTGTGTACTTTACTTAAAATTTAAATTATAATGTGAATATTTACATATAAAATTTATATAAGAATTATAAATTATTTTTAAAGTATAGTTTTTTGTATAAACTTTTATAAAAGATTTAAGGTGTTAGTTCTTTGACATGGCCCCTCCCATAGTTTTACCCTATGATTATTTGATTTTAAAATATTGATGAAAGTTTAATATGATTTGAGGCGTTTTCATGTCGCGGCGTGCAGTGAATTGGAATTTGTTGTAGGTAAAATTAAAGTCACATTCTCATAAATAATTCAACTCCAATACCTTTTCTTCTTTTTCCCTTGATGTTGAGAGCCTCCGAATTGGATAATGTTGGGTAATCCTTCGTTTTACTTAAGCCTGCATGCTTTTTTAAAAAAAAAAACTTTTTAACAATATTATTCAATCAAGTTTAAGTGGTAAATAGTTTGATATCACTTAAGTATATCTCGAGTTCGAGACTTCGAGACATTATGTATGCAGAAAGTTCCCGCTGAGAGACTTACCTATCAAAATTTGGACACGTATAGATCCGGATTAATTAGAGAAACCCTAAAGAATCGAGAAGATAACAAAAAATACTATTTTTATTAAAAAAATAAAATATAATTAAGATATTTTTCTCTCAATAATTTTTTTTTTTTGAAGGAAAACGGTTGAGCACGAAATATATTTCGTACTCATAAGTCAAGATTAAATATCTGATGACATAATTCAAAGATAAGAGGAATTACCATCAATCATGTTATATCTCATAATTTGTCCCTTTTATTTTTATATGTATAATTAAATAAAAATAAAAATTATGTCATATAAAATTGTATCAAATTAAAAAATAAAATTTCACAGAAATTTCACATTGGTATGTAATTTTAAGACTAATCATTATATCATCTTGAACGGAAATTATTTTTCTTGGGGGGTTGTAGGGGGGGGGGGATTATATCAACTTCAAAGTTTGATATCCTCCTGAAGGGAATTTTATTTTTTGGGGATTTTGTTTAAACTAAAGAATTTATATGAATTGAAATGTGATTCAAATCATTTATTTAATAGGAATGAAATATTGGGTGAAAATTGAAAGAAAAGTCCTTAGACTATCATTGATTGAAAATTAGCATCCTAATAACCTATGATAGATTTATATATTTTGTCACCTAACTTATATATATATATATATATATATATATATATATATATATATATATATATGAGGTAGAATCTACTTACAAATCGTAATTTTTTTTTTCTAGTTTTACACATATTTATGATAATTGGATGAGTAAAAATAGACGATTGAGATTAACAGTAAGAAATGTGAAGATATTTATTGAAAAAGAAACAATAAGATAATATCAGTCGTCTATTTTCATTCATATAATAATCTTAAATATGTATAAAATTTTAAAAAATTATGTTGTGTAATTAGATTCTAACTCTCTCTCTATTAGTATCCACCATTGGTATTTACCTTCAAGAATTTAAATAAATAAAATATTAAACTAAATTATCTTCAACTTATTATTATACTTGAAAATGAATTTCAGTCTTTGTTTTGAAGTGGAAGTACATAAATATATGGTTGTCTCAATCAGTGGCCACTCTGCGAGTCTATTGTTAATATTTATCTTTTTGTTTTATCCTAACCATCATCACTTGTTGCTCCTCCTTACCTTTAACTTATTATTTTAAGAGTACGTGGACTTATCTTTCTACTAAAAAGTGAAAGTTTTACCCTTAAAAAAATTAAATTCATCTTTGAATTCCAATAAAAAAAATCATTAGATTAATCTTATATGTGTATGAACGACTTCTTTTTGATAAATGTTAGGTAAATAAAATGTAGTGTATGTTCGAAGACTCTTAATCAATTGAGAATAAATATTTGTATCTTTGTAAATAAGGTATTCGAACGGGAGATCCCATGTATGAAACATTTAAACATATAATAAAAATCTTGAAGTAATCGGGTTGAAAGTGTCAATTTTAAGTGTTTTAAAAGACTTTTTAAACGTAACTGACTCTCATTTGGATGTGTGAAGTCGTTGAAACTACCATTTGAAGAGAAATCGTTTCCCAGAAGCAAAGGTCCAAGGAGAAGATGTTGGGTTTGTTGGAATTATTGGTCTAATGAATGATCTAAGATTCTGATAGATCGATCTTAAATATTCGGAAATATTTTACAAGTTTTCAAATTTGAAATTTTGTTATAGGTTTTGACCGTTGGGGCAATTTTGGATTCTTTAAAGCTTTTTTTTTTAGTCATATTTAACTTCATTAATATCAGCCTTTTTTGTGAGTTTGATTTGCAATGAACCATCAAGCCTGGTTTAAACATCTTTTTTGTATCTTCTTGGATTTGAGTTTTGACTGTACAAATGAATGAAATACATCAAGGTCTTTGTAACAGACTTTCAAAAATCCAGGGTCGGGCCATCGAAAATTCGTATTTAAAAATTTCTCGTGATTTTTTCTTTTTCATCCTGAAAAGGAAAATTATAGCAATTAAGAAACAAAAATGTTTTAAAATGGAAATCTAATAAAAATAAAAAAGTTTTTGAAATGTCAAAATATATGAACCATAGAGAAGTTGGGATATGAGACGTGTTTCCGTCCCTAAACCCGATAGGATCTACTCTAGCTTTATGTTAATGAAGCATTTTTGTTGGGGCACACAAGCAGAAGGGGAAGGATTAATCTCCAACATATATCCCGAAACTTACTACTACAACATGCTCTTACCTTTACCTCTGATTCACCAGCTCCGTGCTTGATTTCGTCTGTTCATACAAAACTGATCTCTAAAGAACACAAATGAAGGCACTGGAGCAAAATAAATAAATCAACAGACATCGTTACACGCATCAAATCACAAATTGCATTTTTGCATACAGCTGATGGAAGATAAGTTTTATTTCTTTTTGTATTTTATGCCACACAAAGTTCAGTAGTGAAACTGAGAGGAACCTTGTAACACCTGATAGGGTCTCATCCGAGCTAGTGTTTTGTCTGAGCACAAAAATACTTCATTATTGCTATACTAATAAGATATGGATTCCACTGCAATTTTTCTTAACTAGTCCAAAGAAAATGCTCCACTGCAATATCTGCAAAGTTAGCAAAATCATGATCAACTCCGATGAACACCATGCTGTAAACCAGATGTTCAAGAAGAAATGTGTTTCACTAATATGGAACAAAGGTTTTAGTCAATAATAAACGATCTATGTTGCTCCAACCATGTTTTCTTGAAATACCCGTATACAATATGGTATGATGATATGACCTATTAAGGATACTTCAAAGCAAAAGTACCCGTGTCGGACACGTGCCCATATCCAGGGACGAACCAGGATCAGATAGACTTCAAAGTTAACAGGGACCTAATAAGTATTTAATCTAAAATTTAAGGGAGCCAAGGTTTAATTTTCACTTAGTAGCACCATCCCTGTCCATATCTCACATTTGCAGCCAAGCTGAAGTACCACATAATTGGATCACTTAAAAAATCAATATAACTGAAAATATAGTCTGATAGTAATCATCAAAGACAACCGCATACTTCCCATACGTGACCAGGAGCTTGAAAACATTTCAGGGTTGTCTTACGCATGAAGAAAGGTACGAGGAATATGTAATCATTAAGAGCAGTGGATAGTAATGCGATAAAAACACTCTTGTAGGAAAACAATTGCAAACGACAGCTACAATCCCTCACCTGTTACTGAATTTCTCAACAGCATCAGATGCATAGAGGAGAGTTTCATTAGCTTTCTCCAGAACCATATAAAGCTCCTTTCCGCCGGTAATGCGGGCAATGGCCCAGGCATTATTTTTCGCTCTAATGCACACTTCCAAATCTTTTTCGTGACCTGGATTTTCCCATTTTGCTCGACTCTTTTCAGCATCTACTTCTTCTCTAAGCCTATTTAAGGCAAGTAAAGATTCCTGCATTATAAGACAAAAAGAGAACCAGTGAAGGCTTTAATGTTTATTTTGATGAATCAGCAGATTGTAACAAGATGCGAAGGAGGGCAGCTTCTAGTTTCTAGATAACATCACAAAGTGTCATCAGTAACAGCTATGATTTATTCTTAGAGTTGAAGTTTGATTGAAAAAAGGAAACTATATTTGGCCAAAACAAGCTTTATTGCGTGGCAGTAAATAGAACTGTAAAGGCTGTCTAAAGTAAAATTGATCATCGAAACCAACCTGAATTCTATTACTAAGAAATAACTGAAACGAAAGAGTAAAATTATGCTTAGCACTTCGGTTAGTTGAACCTAGGGCACTTTAATCTTTTCAGAAGGACAATAATGAAATTCAATTCAATTCAATTCTATCAAGATCACTCCTCAAACCCTGCAGTTTGTAGGAAACACCACAGGAAAATAGCTTACAAATTTACATGATCGAGAAGTTCCAACACTGACTTCTAATAAATCAAGCTGAGCATCTCTCAACTCATAAATACTCCCCTATCTACAATAATGCTCACATATTATTAAAAAGTAAATTTGACGTCAATTATCAACGAATTATAAGACACATCAATCACTAACACATTCAGTTCAAACAAAACTTAAATCGGTGAAGTGATTACAATATTTTTTTCTTGGCCATGTTAGGGCAAAAAGTATGGTAACCATATAAAAAAACAGCAGTGCTTTACCTTTGCTAACGTTGTAACCTTAGCTGGGGGTGAAGCCCTGGATATGTCTCTGCTACCATCCACTAACAAGTAACGATAACCACTGACATGATAAGCATTCTCTCCACCCCATCCCTTAGACAACTTTTCTTCAACTTTCAAAATCTTCAGTGAGGCCTACAGGTTTTAACATATGCAAAAGGTCAAAGAGACTGTCAGCCTAGCTAATCATGTAAACGTATCATTTCTAAACTTGGTACAATTATTGCACCTAATAATTATGGATCGTTGTCTATTCTGAATTGCTTTGATGCTTAAGTCAGGTCTGTTGTGCATTTGAATGTCCTAAACGAGCTCATTTCTGATATGATTAAATCTATCTAACCAATCCTTGTTCATAACATCAATAAATTGAAAAAGGTGGATGCTAAAATTTTTATGCAACAAAATGAATGAATTGGGAAGAAAGTTCAGGTAAAAATCTTGGAAAGGAAGAAAGAAAATAGTTCTAATACCAAAATCAAATAGTGCCATTGGCTTAGGCAAAAAGATGAAAAATAAGAATTTCATATGCTTGCATCTAAACTAGCAGAAACCACTTAGTCGCCGACTATAAGGGCAAAGGCTCTGAGACAAGCAAGATTTTGAAGGATAAGAAGTGGGAAAGACAATCAAAATAAGAACTAAATGCATTACACATGTTGTGAATCAATGATGACACATTGAGAAAACTGCATAGAATCTGTAAATTAAACAAACGTATTTGAATGAACTGGTTGATAATTGGAAATGCTTATGCCATGTATGATATATAGCCATGTAGGAACTAACATTTTCAAGAAGTTGTTGTTTCACAATTGAAACACCTTGGTCCCCATTAAGGATAGAAGAGAGAGGGATCAGAAGGATTAACGTAAGGCTTTTGTACTGATAAGCACAGAGATACATCCTCTCCTCTGTCTGCCGTAGCCAAACTGTTGGAGTAGTTACATTCAAGCTACCGATGTCCCCACCCCAAATATCAGTGACAAGAAAACCGTCTTTCCCTTTGAACCACTTGTCATGCTGCAAGGGCCTTGTAACACGATATCTATCATTTCCAGCATGAGAAGCATCGTGTGAACCATAAAATTGTTCTGAAGCAGAACCAGTAGAAACATGTGATGAAGAATTTCCTTTCCGTAAATAGGACCATGACTTTGCTCCAGAGGATAGAGCAAGCGGGGTAAGCCTTAAAACCGCATATGTGAACATGTTTATGGTATCCTCCTGACAAGAAGATCATTACAAACATTAGTATTTAGCTTTAATAAAGCCTAAAAGGAATAGTACCTATATGAATTTTGACAAGGAAACTTTCTTTAGCTATTAAATATTAACCACTTTGGGATAAAAGTTGAGGCAGCTAACAAAAACTAGAAAACTGCTACATCAGCTTTGAAGGTCAGACCATACCGGAGAAAGTGTTGTGGACACAAGCAGGTCTTGAAATAAAATGAGCGAGAAGCATGGCATATTGCCAGCAGAAGATTCTAATATTCTGACAAGTGTCTGCCAAAACAAGATGAAATCATTAAAACTAAAGATATAACAATTGCGAACAACTGCCATTTTAAAGTACATATGTTATTATTCGTCTTCTATGCTCATAGTAGCAGGTAAATAAAGTTTCAATCAAGTCGGGGAAAGAATGATTGGTTTCAATAAGTTTATAATCTCCTGTTTTAAAATGTTAGCACTTAGCAGGTTAAAAATTGATGTAGAACAAAAAACTAAGCAATACAGTGTTGTCATTTGTCAACTCTCACATCTGGTATAAAAGGTCAAATAGGATTATCCCAACTCATTTTTGGAAGAATCAGACGATTATTTACAAGATAACCATCAAGAACTGTTCAATCAGATTTACTCATTAATGCTATATCTTTATTCTGATAAATTGAGTGTACTCAATAAAAGACTCGTGACTCTGGACTTTACAGGTGAGCTTGATTGTGTTAGTTTGCCCACTGAAAGGGGAATAATTTCTTGATGATTCCAGAAACAAATGCAAAAGACTGTATAGCATCACTTTGCTTTAATTATATAGCTATTAGAAATCTATGGTAGGGACAATATATGGGAAAACTCTTACACATAAGCGGAAAAATGAGGCTTGATGGTTCGGTAGATACAGAGTAGTAATGGCACCAGACCTCATTCAAACTACATAGTTATGACAAATCTAAACCACAACAGTCACTCAAGCATAGAAATTATCTATTACCTATACTACATTCCAATCACTAGTAATTTAGATACAACTTACAAGGGTATATAACTTGAAACTACCAAAATATAAGTTTTCCCATCAAAGGTAGGAACTTTAAACCATTTGGAAAATAAGAAAAAGAAAATGGCATCTAAAGTACATGTGACTACTTCCAAACAAACACAATTCTCAACACAAACCTGAACTTCAATTGCAGCCTCTCGACCTACAGTTAGCATCTGTACAGTCCTTCGTTCCTTTAAGCAGTCACGGAATGATGGCAACTGGAGTTTCTTCCCAACCAGAAAATCTGCCTCAAAATAAAAATTATACATAAGGCATGAGATTTAGCTAGTAGCTACTTCAGCAAAACTTGGAAGCACAAATCCAGATAAGGCCATTTGATACAGCAACTTCAGCATTACCCCAGCAGCACTTATCCCAGAGAGACCGCTTTTGACATGCTGACAATTAGTGACTTACAATGAAATAAATTCAATCAAAGACAAAAGAACAATAAAATTAGCAAAAATTTCAAGCGGATATAAAATTTCATATCAACTTACCTCTTAGATAATCCATGATGAAAGGGTATAATAGTGCACGAGTTAGTCCTCCACCGGGCTCTTTTTCAAGCAATGCTCTAATAGATCCATGAAACATCATGAAAAGTGAGTGAATTTCCTTAAGAACCTCTCTTAATGCATCAATCCTCCATATGGCTTCGTCCTCCTTACTTTTCTCCACTATCTACATCAAGTTTAACAGATATCAGACTTACCTAGAGTAACATCAGAAGACCAGAATTTTACAGACTGGCCTAGTTATACATACTCTTCTCTTTTTCCAACAAAATGCTGATAATTAAGGAAATTCATATAAACAAGGTCAAAAGGATTCCAAGACAATCTATAGAGGCGAATAAAAAAGAATTTAGTACATCTATACATAAAATTATAATTCAGAAGCAAAAAAAACATAGAAAAATATTTCATGCTAGAAAATTACAATCATATCATACCATAACCATCCAGATATCTGGCTCTGCCTCGTAAAAGACATGAGAGTGCTTCTCTGCTTCTATGACCTCGCAAGCAGCCTCCGGAGAGAAAATTCTGCAGGAAAAAGACACAAATTCTTTGAAAAAGAACTAGCTAGAATAAGAAACTTTGTTCTAATTTTAATCTGAACATGTTCGATCAGAAAAAGGAGTCCTTTAGTACTAACCGCGTGAATGTAATGAGCCCTTCGCTGAGCCCAATCACGGAGAGTTGATTTGAAAAGGGTAAATCAGCAGGAAAGAAGACTAAAATTTTGTCAAGTTCTTGGCCTTCGTGTTGGCCTCTTCTCAAATCAAATATACAGAGTTGCATGCCTTCACTAGCAGTGCCAATAGACGACAAACCCATGAAACTTGCTGAATTGGCTCAAAGAACCTGATTGAAATAAACAGATAAAAAAGGAAAAATTGAATGCACAAAGCTACACAATTAGAAAAGAAAAGAAAGAACAATTAAGAACAAAGCCACTGAGAGAAGCAAAATCACTTACTGTGTAAAATTTGGAGATGAAGCTTCTCAGATCCTAAGTAACCAAAGAATGAGAGCGAGAAGACTTTGGTCTGGAAAAAGAACTTCGAATCGTAGGTGGAAGGAGTAACTGTTAGTTAATGATTACAAATAAATATTAGTAAATTACAAAATTGGGGAATTCGTGCTAAAGCCCAATTTGAGTTGGGAATCAACTTTTGGGCCTAAAGCCTACTACAAGACTTCAAGAATTAATTAAAGGGCCTATTTTTTTATTAAATTTAAAATAATTTTGATCGAATAAATTTTAAATAATTATTTGATACATTAATAATATTATTTTCTCAAATGTTTTTGGTACGCTTCAGTAATACCATTTCAATTAAAATCATTTTTCATAAAATAATAAATAACTTAATAAAATTATTTTAAGTTTTTATATAATGTATTTTCAAAAATTAATTACTTATTTTGAAAATATCACTTTCTAGATAAATTTATATTTTAAATCATTAATTTTAATTTTTAATTTAGATCATACGCTTTTAATTAAATTATACTATTTAGCTTTTATTATTAATAAATCAAGTCATTTATATTCATAAACTAAATAATTATAATAAATAAATTAAAATTAACGTTTTTACTTAACATATTTTTATATATCATTTCATTTAAATATTTACATATTAAATTTTGCGTTAGAGACGAGGATCAAACGAAAATTCAAATCAAACGATTGAAGCATTAGTAGAATACAGACGAGGACGGTTTAGATGCATTAGTATAAAAATGCCGTCACTCTCCCCAGTCCCCGGTGACTACTCCCGCAACGTCCATAACCACTTAGCTTCAACTTCACACTCCACTAACCTACGTTATACTAGGCTTACTTCATCACCCTTCGCCACCTTTCTCTCAATCTCTCTCTATTCCATTTCCAAGCAAAACTTTCAAATTCAAAGTCTTAAGCAATAGACAATGAAATTGAATGACAAGAACATAATGGAACGACTCGCTGCTACGTCGACGTTCGTAAAGAAGAAACTCCGTTCCAGGCGATCTCGAAGAAGACGCTCTCAGGTCGCTCCATTTGTTTTGCAAAATAAGACTGTTGATCTCTCCGTCCATTCCAGTTCTTATTCTTATTTTTTCGCCGCCAATGATGTTTCTTGCGATTCAAGCGAATTTTCAAATCCGAAGAAGAGGAGTTTCGATGAAATTCAAGGTGGATATGGAGCTAAGAATCAAGGAAACGAAGGAGCTGGAGAGTCAGAGTTTTGTAGAATCACGAGACCGTATTACGAGAAGGAAGGAGAAGCTAGAGGAAACGAAGTTGAAGTACTGAGTGAATCTTCTTGCGTCGAATCCAATTCTGAAGCCGATTTTCGTCTTTTCTGTGAACGAAGTTCCAAGTTAAAGAAAACGAACGATAGTTCTAAGGAAATTGAGAGAAACAACGCGGTGTCGGTGGCGGTAACGCAATCAGATGTTTCCTGCATCGAGGTGATCCCTGATGAAATCTCAAAACTCTCGTCGGGTTTTAAGGAGAACGACCTCGTTTCGTTGACGTCCGGTTTTGAGTTCTGCTCAACATCGAACTTCGAAACTGCAGTCGAAGATAATGAAAACGACGTCGTTAACGCCAATTTCACCGTTTCGAACTCCAAGTTTGTTGAGGATAAAAATCCGAAGAGCGTCTCCGATTTAGATTCTCCGCATCTATTTTGTGACGAACAGTTTCCATCGGAGGAAGTCGTATCTGATTACTCATCAAGTCATCGGACTCTGTTTTCTGAGCTGCAATCTATTAATTTCCCTGAAAGTTCGGATTTAGATTTCATCGGGGGAAGTCGTATCTGATTACTCATCAAGTCATCGGACTCTGTTTTCTAAGCTGCAATCTATTATTTTCCCTGAAAGTTCGGATTTAGATTACTCATCAAGTCGAACGATGACTCTCCGATTTCATTGACTTACTCTCTCTTTCTCGATTTCAAACAACAATTCTCCAAATCAACATCTCCTTTAGATCCTAAATTTGCTTCAGCCTTCAAGCGCTGAAAATGAGCGTCAACTTTATCCTACTGTAATGAGTTTACTGAATATTTTATTGAATTATTGCTTGAATGATAACTTTTTGTTGAATGAATCTAATGATTTAAACTTTTATGTTTTTTTTATAAAAGTTGGTGAGGTTTGAAGATGAGGAAGACGAAGAGAGTTACAAGAGGTTGAGGGAAAGAGAAAGAAGGCGGGTGTTTTTGCGTGATTATGCCGAGGAATACCGGTTCACAACTGACCATGGCGATCTTATTCTCCAGCAACGTTCTTTCATGATCGTTGGATCGTTGAGGTCAGTCAATTCAATGACTTTTTATTTCTGAACTCGCTTTAATCTCATATGAAAGTACAATTTGGGATGTCCTCTGCATTGACGATTTTCCACATGCACTGCGCCATTGAATCAAATCGTGACACGTCACCATTTTAAGGCATGAAAAAGACTTGCTACCACTTTTTCTCTTGATGTTTATGAAAGTTGTAAAGGATTACTATTAAGAGTCAATACTTTTCGTCCTTTCCTATTGGCCAATTGCTGGTTTGTTCTTTGGATCCTTTTGTGATACTGTGATAGACTGTTTTAACCTCGGTAGCATGTAGTTTCCGCGCCTTACCATGAATTCTAATTTCTAGCGTATCTCCTCCCTAAGGTAGCCTGTAACTGAATAAGACTTGGGTGAAAAGAAACTCGTTATATAGATAGCATTGATCAGTCTTTAGCTTTCAACATTTTTTTAATATATATATATATATATATATAGACAGTCACAGTTTTTTAGTTTTACATTTTAGAATAGTTTAGTGAAAATAGACATTGAAATTAACAAGCAGGGAATGAAAAGAAATTAACTGAAATAAAACAATGAAACAATATTTGTTTAGTATATATATTTGTTGTTTATGTTGTTAAATAGCCTGTACCAACCTTTTCTTTATTCGTTTATTGATAATATGTTGTCCAAGTTGATTGAGCATGTTTTCTGATTATGAAAGCAGCCAAGTACTGCAAAGGAGTTTCAGCAGGAAACAATATTCCTTGGAGTTAGCTTGCTTGACAGATTCCTAAGCAAAGGATTCTTCAAAAGTAGGAGCCTTCAGATCGTTGGAATAGCCTGTCTTACATTGGCCACCAGATTAGAAGAAAATCAGCCCTACAACAGGTGACAATTAAGATAATTCCTCTCTTTCCATGGGTTACAATTACGGCAATGAATTTGCTAATGAGAACTTATTTGTGGCTATACTTAATAATACCAGTGTGCGGCAAAAGAACTTCTACATTGGGCGCAACACGTACAGTAGAAATGAAGTGGTGGCCATGGAAAGGCTTGTGCTGGAGTGTCTCAACTTCCAATGTTTCCTGCCTACTATCTATAACTTCTTATGGTAAGCTTTTCCCTCCCAAGTGCCAAGCACCTTCAATTGGAGACATTTAAGACAATCATTTAACTTGCACGTTTACCTATATTCCCTTGAAAATTTATTCTTTAATTGAAGTCATGTGATTGAATTTTGATTGCTTCCCTAGACATGTTATAAGGTTCTGAAGCAAGACCTATTCTCAAATTATCCTAGGTTCTATCTCAAAGCAGCCAAGGCTGATGCAGAGGTAGAAAAGAGGACCAAGTATCTGGCAGTGCTTGCACTGTCGGACCATGAACAGTTGTGCTATTGGCCACCGACAGTAGCTGCAGCTATCGTCATAATGGCTTCTATGGATGCCAATCAACATGGATCTTACCACCAAGTAATCGAGGTACAAATATACACAATTATGACATCAATATCTTAATTTGAACATTGTTCTTTTTCAAAATCGTAAATATCTTCACAATGTTTCGCATTGGTTTCCACTAAATCTATATTCTGATGTTAAGTCTTATGTTTTGGCAGATTCATATGAGAACCAAAGATAATGATTTGCCTGAATGCATGACGGTATGGCTACTATACCACCAAATATTACTGTAAAATAATCTTCGTTTGCTATTATTGAGTTCACTAATAATGTTTGATTAAACAGAGCTTGAACTGGTTGGTAAAGTATTTAAGCTAGCAGAATGTCAAAGAAAAGGGCTCTGAACACAAACCATTTCCATTCTTTCCCCTCCTTCACAAGTATTTGCTTGGAAGGTTGGTGGCAAAGACCACTGCATACCTGATCAAACCAAGGGTTACAAGTAACCGTCCAACGTCCATAATTGTGGCATTATTCATTTCAAACCCTATTATTGAAGGAAATCTGTTGTAAGTTCTTCATACTTGATAATTGTCCTTAAAGCTCATGTGAAGTAGAATATACCCCAACTATATATATACATATATTTTGAGGTTTGAAAAGGTCAAAAAATAGGATTTATATTTCATTACATGTCTCCATTTAGTAACTAAGACTCCAATGGTTTCGTTTTCCCAAAATTTTCCCAACAACCAAACAGGGAAAGCAAACATTTTTTTTAATATTCCGAACAAGAAGATTTACCAAGAACTATCAATGGTATGGAAGACTGGATTGAAGTTAAATAGGTAGAAAAAGATTGGGATGTGGGGGAAGGCATCTTTAGTCAGCGTGAAATACGCGTGCTGATTTCTTGGAAGCGCGACTGAGTCTTGTTCTTTCAGCTCTAAAAACGGAATAATATCTCTTTGGTTTCCTTCTTTCTAAAAAACTACTATACTTTCGCTGCATTGAATTATATACTTTGTGAAACCTCAAGTTTTAGTAGTTTTTTTTTAACTTTTCAATTAAATTTTGAAATAAAGAGATTTATTTTTTTTAAAATTAATTCAAACACATACTTATTCATAAATCCTAATACATACTTTGTGAAACCTCAAGTTTTAGTAGTTTTTTAAACTTTTCAATTAAATTTTGAAATAAAGAGATTTATTTTTTAAATTTTTTTTAAAATTAATTCAAACACATACTTATTCATAAATCCTAATACAAGAAAATCGAATAGTGTTTTTGTGCTACAAATTAATTTAAGACAGTTTCAATTTAAAATGTTAGAATAATGAACCTAAAAAGTTAAACAAATTCATAATTATTTTCAATTGCAATTGAAAAATTATATTGTATGAGTTTAGGACTTACAATCGAAAATACTATAAAGAGTATAATATTTTCAATTGGAACATGTTTAATTTAAAAAATTATATAAAACTTTCGGTTAAACCTAATTACCAATTGATGCATCGCCTAGTAAAGAGAAAAAATTAGTTGACCCTTTTTCTTATATGTAATGTGAGTAAGAGGGAGGTATGATAGTAGGTTGCTCCCAATGCCAGGTTGAGAATAATTTCCGTGGGAGACCTCCGAATTATAAAATACCCTCCATAAAATTTGATCTCACAACCACAAGATTAAGAACATTGTACTCTACCAACTTAACTCTTAATTTCCAATGACGGAGACCGCAACACCTTGTTTTCTTTGTATTTAATTGATTCAGTCTTTTTTACTTTTACTAATATTATTGTATTATGACATTTGGCATGTCCCTGTTTCCTGAATAGAATAGGGTTTTACGCATTTCCATGCAGAAATGGAGAGAAAAGTTGTCTAGTTCATAAGAGAAAAAATTATAAAATTTTAAGGTTTAAAATAAAAATTTTAATAGAAAATATATAAAAATAGAAAATATATAATAATTTTAAATTTTCAAATATCGACTTGGTTCACGGAATGTAAGATTATCAGTAGGAATAAAATATTACCAGAGAATATGATTACTGAGAATGTTGTATTTTGTGTTTGGTTGGTTTAGCAGGAATGTAAGATTACTTAAATGAATAAAAGATTATTGGAATGTATATTTGACAAAATTGTCTTTATTATATATTTGTATAATATTACAAATTGTAAAATATTTATATATTTTCTTTAAAAAATTAAATTCATAATATTTATATAATTTTTTTACAAAATTAAAAATATAAAAAAGGTTTAATGAAAGGGTAAATTTTTTTAATCCCTAAACTTCATATAAAATTTTAATTATAGATTATTTTTTGTAAATCTAAAATAATTTAAGGATAAATTTATAATTTAACCTTCGTAGAATTTTTATTATTAAATGACAGAATAATGATATTTTTGAAAAAAAATAAAAATTTAAGGGCATTTTAGTCCAAAATGCCGGTAATGTTACAATACTTAAGGGAATGAAGGTAATGACATTCCCAGTAATATACCCCAAAAAATCTACTATTGGTAATAAAACATTACCGAGAATGAGATTCCCGACCAACCAAACATGGGAATGTGAGATTCTCATCCCATGAAAATCCCATAATCCTTGAACCACCCCTTAGGTCTATCTTTGGTTCCACCGAAGATCAGACGGAAAAATTATACCATTAATGACAAAGCTTGATTGAATTGAGAACAACTTCCCCCAATTGCAAATGACATTGCCAACTCAATTACAAACATTCCCGATCAATACTTAAGGCCCCATAGCAATTAAATTCTATTAAGACCATATAAGAGTAGATTTCATATTAAATATTACAAAATCTAGGGATGATCAAAATATCCGAATTCGATGGTCTCGATTTGACCTGACCTTATAGGGTCGTGGTTTTTATTTAATTTTTGGGTTTAGGGCTGGTTATGTAATATACAAGTTTGGGGTGGGGAGGAATCAATTTTAATGTAAAAAATCACCGGTCCGATCTGATCCGATTAATTCATAATTTTTTATATAAAATATATTTAATATTTTAAGAATTTTAATTTTATATTAATAAAATATGTTCTTTAATTATTAAAAATATAAAAATTATTATAAAATATATTATTTAACCTTTTAAAATATAATAAATAATTATAAAATATATTATTATAAAATATATTATTTTAATTATTTTAAAATATTAATATATTCATATAGGATTGAGTCGAAGTTGGAATTTAGTCTAAAAACCGGGATAGGTTCGGAGCGGGAAAAAATTAAAATTCATCGAAGCGGGGTGGGGCTGGGTACAAGAAATATGTTTATGGGTCGGGTCGAGCAGCAAAAAAACCCGCCCCGTGTCCATCCCTAACAAAATCCTTTAAATTCAAAGGGTAGATTATTAGTCTAAAAACCGGGATAGGTTCGGAGCGGGAAAAAATTAAAATTCATCGAAGCGGGGTGGGGCTGGGTACAAGAAATATGTTTATGGGTCGGGGTCGGAGCAGCAAAAAACCCGCCCCGTGTCCATCCCTAACAAAATCCTTTAAATTCAAAGGGTAGATTAAACTGGTAGTCCCTGATCTTTTAAAGCATTTTATATTTTAATCAATAAACTTTTAAAACTTACATTACAATCACCAAACTTTCAGAACGATGATAGTGATAGTAATACAAACAGATTAATCATTACTAGATTAATCACCAAACTTTTGAAACGGATAGTTTGGAAGCTATAAGACTACTAGAGCACAAAATCTTGAATGATGCTGGTTCGTCATCACTGCAACACATTGGTGAGTTGTTAAATCGTGAATAAGAACCAAGTTGGTTGATGGTTTAGCCAAGTTAGCTTGGTACCTCCCTTTCGGGTATCATTTGTTTCATACTCCACCTGAGATGATTGTACATATTCGAGATATGCGGAAAGCTCATGATATGTAGAAAGTTATAACTTTATAGTTTTCTTCTCATGTAATAATAATAAAAAAAAGCAGATTAAAAATTTAATGATTGTAATGCAAATTTCAGAAGCTTGGTGGCCAAAATGAAAGTACCCTAAAAACTTAGTGACTACCAGTATAGTTTACCCTTAAATTTAAAATATGTGAATAGGGAGGACGAAGATACAAAGCTCAAAATCCATTTCAAAACACTACTGGCTTTCCCATCTTTTCTTCCCTTTATATATGATATACAATCTCAAGAAAATTAATGCACTTTCTCAGATCATGACAATGGTGGAGACCCTCTCCAACTAAATTCCAAAATCAGGACTAATCTTCAAACTCCATTGAAATGTAGCATCAAGTAACTTTTTCTTTGAGTATTAACTGAGGGGTGACCTTTGAGGAGTGCCTTTCCTCTTGTTCAACCGTTTACGAGGCTTTAAACTTTCGATCACCCATGTTTTGGTCTCCTCTTCTGAAAGATCTATCGACGAGAGTGACGATTGCTTTCCCTCCGAACTTGGTTCTGAATTTTGATTGTCTTTCAATGAAAGATTCTGAATTTCTTGTATTTGTAATCCCATTTTATGGCTTTGGCCTTTAGGCTTCACATCAACAGCTGATACCTGAAAAAACATTGATTAGGTTATGGTTTTAGTCTTAGATGAGGAAATTAAAGTAGAAAACTTGAGTTATAAGAAATGAAACCCAAAGTTAACTATTTTACCTTGCATGCAATGGAACAAAAACGATTAGGTGGGTCTTGAAGGTATCTTCCACAAGCTTCACAGGCTGCACCGGTTTTCGATTTCGTTGATGGTTTGGCATCTTTAGGTTGAGGCCTTGGATTCAAGTGAACAGCCTTTTCACCATTGATTTTGTATGTCTGTCAGATAATCAAAACTCATTCAGTAAATAAAACTGTATATGATGATAATTCCTATTCAACCAAAGTTCATCAAAAGAGAAAAAGTAAAAGACAATCAAAGCAATCACTTAAGTGAACTGAAAGTTGAAAATGTGGATGGAAAATAATTAGAAAGCAATCCAGTAATAGAACAGGGAAAAACAATTTGGATGGTTCTGCAAACATAATGATAAGAAATCTTCTCTCTTTGATTTCAAATCTTTGATAATCACAATTTCATAGTCATCTATGCATATATCAGTAACAATTGGAAGAAATTAATAACAAAGAATTACTTATCCCGAAAAACATAAAGAATTACATCGAATTGATTACCATTACCAAGAAAACTTCAAAGCTAAAGAGTAGTGAGTTTATGGAAAACCTGAATTTTGGAACAGTTGAGATGCTCCTGCATTTTTTGAAGGCGAACTACATCTTGGTATACGTATTTGCAGATCTGAAGCGACTGATGCTGGCAATGAGCCTTGCAATGCCGGCAAAACTCGAGACAACAGTCGATGCAGAACACATTTTTTTCGTTTTTTCTTAGGTCTTGATGATCAAAGCAAGGACCAAAGAACTCACTTTCCAGAAGGGTACTGAGCCAATCTGTTTTCTGCTTAATGTACAACCCACAACCCACCTACAATACCAAATTCAATTCATTAAATATCAAACGAGCCTTGAAATAAAGTTCTAAAATTCTTGAAATTATAACAGTTAATTCCAAGTTCATATCAATGGAAACACAATAGTAAAGTTAATAAGCAATAGATAAGATTCAACTTTTAGTGTGAATATACCAATTACAAGTACAATTCATTCAAATTTCAAAAACTACAGTATTTCAAGATTCTAAATTTCAGACACCAAGAATAAAGTAGTTGAATTCATGAAAATGGTTGAGAGTTTCAACAAAATTAAATTAACCCAAGAGAGTTAACAGGCTGCTTTCCATGAGTATATGATAGCTGCAATAAATACACTATTGAAAAAAAGATTGTTTTTCTTTGCATTTATCTAAAATTTCCTGGAAACCAAACAGGCACTTTATCCCTGATAGTCAAGTAAAATCAAACAACAAAAACAAGAAACAAATACCCATCATTCAACACTTCAAAATTAACATTGGCGGAAAGAGAAAAATAAAAAAGAGGCAGATTTTTCACCATTTCTTTGCTTTGAATTGGATTATATATTTTTCCTATTTCTCACTTGCTCTGATCAATACTCATATGAATACAATTTGCAAAGAAAGATTGAGAAAAAAAGAAGAAGAAAGAGGAGAGACTGCAAGAAGAGAATCCTACAGAACGTGGAAACTGGGGAGAGAAAAAAAGTGAAACTGATATTATAAGGAATGTTCAGTGAAAAAATAAAATAAAAATAGAGTAATTTGTGCAATATCCTACAGAACGTGGAAACTGGGGAGAGAAAAAAAGTGAAACTGATATTATAAGGAATGTTCAGTGAAAAAATAAAATAAAAATAGAGTAATTTGTGCCATTTGGTGAGGAAATAATTATATTGGGCTGTTAAAACATGATCAGACGGCTATTATTAATTTGTTTAAAAAAATTAGATGATCGAAATCATGATTAAATAACAAAAAATTACTGGTAATTTTCCTCAACTACTAATAAATAAATATAATTAGTTTATATTAGGATAAACTATGTATTGAGCTACCCAACTATTCATATGGTTCCATTTTGGTCACCTTTCAAAACATCACTAACCAGGAGGAGCTAAATTTTTTTTTGGGGTATCAACTTGAAAAATTATATGAAAAAAAATTAGGTGGAAAAGTTGAATTTTAATTTTTTATTATTAAATATTTTTTAAAATATAGTGTCAATTACTTTTTTAAAGTGTATCATTTTTCTTTTATATTATATATATAAAAGTATATCATTAATATTACGTTTTGGTTGCATTTTAATCAAATAACTCAACCAAAAATCTCAAAGAATAACAATAATTTCTTAACTATTGATGTGGCTTGCTTCATATATTAATGTACGACGTTTTTAAAAAATCAATACAATTAATTTATATATTATTAATGTATGACCTTTTTAAAATTATTTATATATTAAAAAATGAAATTTAATAAATAAATAATTGTTGCATGTAGATGTGAGTTACAATAAAGATTTTGTTAACAAAATTTATATACATAGTAAAACTTTATTCAATGTAAAATTGAAAATAATAAATGAGATGTCAATTAAAACTTTTAAATACAATTTTATGGAGTAAATGAAAGGTACCCATCAGAAGGAAATGTCCTTAAAAGAGTAATTGGTGACGATCATAATTAAATGGGTAAAATACACAAATGGTACTCCGGCTATAAGGCATTGCTTTGTTGAGTCAATCAACTATTAAAGTTACAAAATTGGCCACACGCCTATTCATATGTTTAAAACTTGTCTTTTTTGATGAAAAATTGGCTAACGTTTGAGCTGAACATTAATATCTTGACAGAGATATAATAATCGTTTGAGATTCTGTGATCAGATTTTATCATATCACAATCAATATGTTAACGTCCAAATCAAACTGTCGTAATTCTTTTAAAGGAAAAGGACGATTTTGGAATATATGAATAGACAAATGACTATTTTGTAATTTTTAATACTCGGAGGACTCAACAAAGCAACACCCTATAGTCAAAGGACTATTTTATAACTTTTCCTATAATCGGGAGACCATTTGTGTATTTTACCTTAGTTCAATTCAATTCAACTAATGGGTGCATGCTCAAAATGGATTAAATAAAAAAACTACAAAACAAGATTGCAATAATTTCTACATTAATTATGTTTTAGAAATCATTGAATTTCATTTAAAAAATAAAAGATTTCTATATAACCATTAATATTTGATTTATTAATCAATTAATCTAAATTAAGTATTGTAGAAATTCATGGTGAGATATTCAATTTGTTTCATTCACAATATTAATATTTAAACTTTTAATCTTACTTAAGACTTTGTTTGATATAAATGACGAAAATAAAGAATGATAGAAATTTTATATTAATTTGACATAAGTTAAGCTTTTTTATTTTTTTTTAAATATTCTAGAGTGATTATAATATAATATATGTTCAAAATATCTTTAATATTTTAACAGTGCACATACGTCCTCGGCGCAACTGTTTCAACCCAAATCTATAAAAAAGACAAATATTCCATTTTACCAATAAAGTAACGTAACGGATGTAAGCTTACATTGTTAATGTAATTTATTATAATTGAACTTTAGTTAATATTTTCTTGTCGTTACTTCAACACGACGGTTAACAGTGTGATAGTTTTTTTTTATCTTTGGTGAATTACTAGTATTGATTGTCATTTTATTTAAGAGTTTAAGTAGTGGTAAATTTAATCGAGTCAGATAAGATTATAAAAATAATAAATTTCTTCCATCACATACTAAATTATGTCAAATTAAAATAAACAAATTAAGTCATAAAAGGAGCAAAATCATAATTAGACCTAAACTTCATATCGGAGGATGAAATATGTAATAAACCTTTTTGTAATTTACAGTGATAACAATAGAAGAAATAGAGAAAGGAGTGTTGTAACACCTTCAACTCATATTCGACCCGGATACGAGTCCAGGATGTCACATTGACTAAACAAAACAATACTTAAAAAAACCCGATAAAACATTTGAACTTATTTTATTAAAATACCATAATATACATATATTAATACAAGTTTATCAAAACACTCAGAGCATACACAACTTAACCCTTTAGTTACATGCCAACATCCATCTCCATAACAAAATGACCTATTGATTAAGTTGCTTCTGATCTGATAGTTGCAGGAGTAATGTTGTCCAGCTGCTTAACCTCGATCGTCTACTTTATCGGATCCTACGTGTGAAACACTCACACGCTAAGTCATCGACTTAGTGAGGCAATATAATAATATCAATAAATATAAAGGAATTGCTAAAATGAGATGGGTTGCAATGATAAAATGTATGTAAACAACGCAATAACCAGAACCATGTTTCTTACACATATACTTATCAAATTCACATTCATAAGTTCACCTTATTAAGTTCATTAGCCCATGGTACCTACTGAGAACCTAATGTATGTGAGTATTGTGAGGTTGTGCACTATGTTGTCACCACAGCTCGTATAATTGCATCGAAGTGCCACGTAGAATTTCACCAGAGTGCCGCGTAGAATTGTACCGTAGTGCCATATAATAATGTCCATAAGGACCACATATCATTCCTTAAGAATCATATACATATACTAGGGATCAAGTATGTGTCTCACAAGACTTCACACATGTTCCAAAGAATATATATATATCCCCAAGGACCGCGTAGACCCTCTACCCTTGGCATGCCAACTATACCTATAGTTCTCATCTACATAACATGGGCTTTCACAATTCACATAATTTGTATCACGTAGACATATTATTTTCATACCTTTATCACATAGCTCATACACTTTTTTCTTGCATATTCATGTCACATAATGCATATAGTATGAATTCATGTCATGTATCATAATATGAAATGCGATCATGTATTAAAATATTAAATCTAGACTTATCACAAGTCTAGAACTAAATAGAATTCATATTCATGTTATGCATATGCACTCATGATGAATTATGTTTCGATATAACAAATTTAAGGCAAAATGATTTTTGGACTTGAATTGAATTTACAAAATGTTTTTGGACTTAATTGAATTTATTAAAAGTTTTAAAAGGTTTCAAAAATAATTCAAAGTCCATTAAATTCGGATTTGAGCCAAAATGCTAAATGGTGTCAAAGTGCATCCATGCACCCCTGTAGTGCATCCCTGCAGTGCATCCATACACTTGCACTAGTGCATCGATACATCATGCAGTGCATCCATGCACTTAAACACCGAATGCAATTAGTGCATCGATGCATCCTTCTATGCATCGATGCATCAAGGCTGTGCATCGATGCATGCTGCTGTGCATCCATGCACGAAGGCTACAACGACTAGTTTATTTGAATTTAATGAAGGGGTATCGATGCACCATGATAGTGCACCGATGCACCATGTTATGGGCAGACTTTTTGAGTAGAAAAATATCTCCAAACGGCTCCAAAACATCCCCAACGGCTATATACAACATCAAACACATTCCAAGCTATAAATACAAGCTAAGGACACTTGAAGAAGCAAGAGAACAACTATCCAAGCAACCAAACACAAGAGAAGAGTTTTTAAATCTTATTTCATCATTCCCTTGTAAATATTTTTTTCTTGTGAGCTTAATCTTGTAAACACCTACCTTAGAGAGGTTTTCTTGTTTACTTATTTTATCCTTTCGTAAAGGGGAAACGTTCTAGCTTATCCCGTGTAAAAGCTAGGGAAAGGTTCTAGTTTAGCCTGGAAAAACTAGGGAGTTGTAAGGTTATCTCTTTGTCCTCAAAAGAAAGAACAAATTAGTGAATTTGTTGGAAAATCCTTGGTGAGGAGATAAGGTAGTGGACGTAGACTTTTGTTTAGAAAGTCGAACCACTCTAAATCATTGTGCAATTTTCTATCTTTCAATCTCCTTACTCCCTAAACTCAAAAACTATTTCGACCCCTCTTTGCAAACTGTTTCGGTTGTCGAATCGAGCTTCCAAAAATCCCAACAATTGGTATCAGAGCCTAACTCGTTAAGAAGGTTTAACCACCTTGAGACGATCCTCGAAGAAGCTCTACCAATTCCCGACGCAACCGACAAAGAAATGACTTTTTCCTCTGGTGCTTGTTATCTTGAAGAATATCATATTATGGATTCACAACCGGTCAACAAGCCACCCTTCTTTAATGGAGCAAATTATGCACATTGGAAGAACAAGATGATGTATTTTATTCAATCCTACAATCTAGGAGCTTGGTACTCAATCATGGACGGTTACTCCTCTCCAACCGGCAAGTACAACAATTGGAGTAGAGAAGAGCAGAAAATTTTTTAGCTTAATTCTAAGGCTATACATATTCTATTTTGTGCTTTAGGTCCAAATGAATATGGAAGAGTCTCATCTTGTTCCAGTGCCAAAGAGATTTGGGATAAATTCCAAGTCACTCATGAAGGAACCGACGAAGTGAGGGAATCAAAGAAAAGTCTTCTCAACCATAGCTACGAGAACTTCAAGATGAAACCCGATGAAGACATAAAAGCTATGACGGATAGATTTTCTGTGATTGTCAACGGTCTCAAAGGATATGGAGAAGTAATCCCAAATGAGAAGCTTGTGAGGAAGATGATATACTCTCTTCCAA